AACTTTTTCTATGTGTAGACGGAGGGCGGAAGTGGTGTAGTGGCAAGTGGCACGCTTACCACGCGAGCGGTCCGGGGATCAAATCCTGGGTCGTGAGTCGCCCGGGCCAACCAAGCCTTCCATCCCTCCGGGGTCGGTTAATTGGTACCAGACTTGTCTGGGAGGATAAAAACACTGACTTGTACATCGGCTGGCCCCGCAAGTCATTGTATAGGCCACATCGCATTCAAACGCCACTACGAATGTACAAATGGAAGTAGAATGCGTGCCGCATCCCAAAAAGGGATTGATCAACGGCAAATGCTTTATCCTTTATCCTTTTTATGCACTGGAAGCAGTACGTGCCATAATAAATACATGAGTGCATACTTGTGACAACAGCTTTGTGTTGCATTGAATCAATAGTGCTTCTTCACGACTTTCATGCCATAAATAATTCGACTCGTCGAAGGCGTTGTTGCTACGGAAAGCGATGCATACTATGAAAACCATCACATCACCGTCACACGATAGACATCCATTTAAAATTATAAAATTGTCGTTCACAATCAAACTAGCTTTATTAATACTAAATAAAGACTTACTTAAACACCTACTCGTCAGACTCAACCACAGAGTACCTAACTAGACTACAACTTGAGCCACTGGGACAGGGGACATAAAAACAAAACCTAAACTCAAAGAACACATCATCGTCATGAATTAATTTTAAAAACACGAATAGAAAACAATTATCAACTAGTTTTCACGAAGCGCAAACACATTTAGAGCATCACAAAACATAGTTTTGCAACTATTAACGAAATATGATACTTAGATGCTGTTAATAGCCTTTCCACAATATGCAGCGAGATTTGCCTCACGGAAAGCTTCAGAGAGAGTCTGAAAGATAATAAATCAAGAATCACAGGCGCAGGAGCAGAAAAAAAAATAAACATGGTTTTCGGGAAACAGCAGTTCAATTCAGCTTTAAACCTATGGAATACGATTTCAGTCTATCACATTTTGGATGGTACCAAATATTGTATAGATATTCAATCAATGGAAAGCAACAGTTCCCCAAAAAAGTAATGGGATAGAGAAAGAATCACAAAATTGCCACGAAAATAAACAACATTCAACTTACCGGATGAGCGTGACACACTCGAGCAACGTCTTCAGCAGACGCTCCATATTCAAGGGCCAAGCAAGCTTCAGCAATCATTTCTCCAGCATTCTAGATAAACTTTTAATAAGTCACACAGATTAGAAATTTGAATAACAGCGCTAATTCCTTGCAAACACCGGTCGCGACTAGATTCTTAAAGCAACAGTCCCAGTAGTGTCCATTCTTATGGTGTGGAAATGATGCGATAGCCCCGGTCATAAACATAAAAAGTGACTGAACAAGAAACTCGCCTTGGAAAGCCGCTAAAAGGACGTACACGCTCTGATCCCGCCCACTTGCTAGCCGTGGACATCGCGTGATTGGCTGTGTGGCCCTTACGCGATTGCGTGGCTGGTTGTGCGTCATTGCGCGATTTTGTGTATACGGATTGCGTTTCCAGGAATGTCGCCTGCCTTTTGTTCTGTGGTGCATGTTTTGCTTTGTATTGGTGCATACGAGAACGCTGCCGCATTTCTTGCTGGCCAGCAATAAATGCCGGCAGAGCAAGCTAGTTCGAACAGCTTGGTCGACACGCTCCTCCTTCATTTCAAAGGGAAAAGATGGACTCCTGTTTGATTGCTTCCTTCAAGGCGTTTTTTCGTGTTCTTCATTTTTGCGTTTGACTTTATTATCGATCGTTTTTACCTACGCGATTCGATATGGAGGTTTTGCGCTTACAGAAATGATGCCTAGTGGCAGAGGAGTCTCACAAGGCAGGGGGGTTGGCATGTTTAGTGGATTGAAAGGGAGCCGATAAGATTAATGCCATTGTTATTTGGGACCGCTTATACCACCCCGTCATTGTACGTTTGCGCTTGCAAAGGCCCCCTCCGTAATCGGTGTTTCTCGGTTTCCTCCCTCGCAAAGCTGTGTCTCTCCCCACGACCGGCCCCACATGCTTCTTGTCTTATATTCAAACAGAGGAACACACCAATCCGATCGCGACCCATGCCATCAAGTAGTACTCCCAGCAGAGAAGAAACACGATTAATTGTTCACGGTTCACTTACCGCTCCAATGATATGTACTCCTAGCATCCTATCCGTCTGCTTATCAGCAAGAACCTTGACGAATCCTTCGGTGTCGAAATTCGTTTTGGCACGCGAGTTTGCAATGAACGGGAATTTTCCCACTTTGAATTCGACATTCTGAAAGAGGATAACGTAACATTTTCAAATTCTTCATCGATGTGAAGCTTTTCTAGCTCACCATCTGCAACAAACGAGACGAAGAAAGGAGACCAACAAAGCTAACACTCACCTCCTTCTTTAGTTGTTCTTCAGGTTTTCCTACCCAAGCAACTTCTGGATGAGTGTAGATGACTGACGGGATGCAATTATAGTCGATATGTACTGGTCCACCACAGATTCCTTCCACGCAGAGGATGCCTGTAAACAGAAGTTTTACGCTGGGTACCCTCAAAGATCACAACAAATGATGTATTAGGCTGAAATATTCTTTTTTGAGCACTCCGTCAATTAATTCTCAGGTTGTTATCACCCTCAGTAAAGCTAAGGTGTGTGGAATATGATGACTGAGTAGTGAGGCACATGTTGCATGCGCTAAGGGAGCAAAACAAGAGGCAATAACGATAACACTGCTAACATCCCACAGCGTTTGTTTATAGTTTGATCATGCTTGGCTCCAGTAAAGTTTGGGAAAGAGCGAAACAAATCAGGCAGAGGTGAATTTTTGACCACAAGAGATGCATGTGTTTGTCCACCGATTCTGATCATGACCTCATTATAACTTTAAGAAATACGGACAGGAATTTTACTACTCACCTTCATCCTCAGCTTTGTGCGCAAGCATGGGTCCAGCAATGCAATCGCCAATAGCGTATATAGATGGAACCTGTATATCGAAATTTTAAGGGAATTTTGAAAGAAAGAATTATCACTATCAAAAAATCGCTCAATCTTAAACGAAGCTTAACTTTGCAATCAGACCTTACTAGAACCACACATAAACCACACTCCCAATGATGATGGTCAATTACCTTCGTCTGGAAGCGCTCGTTCACTGGTACTCGACCCTTTTCGTCGAGCTGGATACCCACATTCTCTGCTCCCAAGTCTTTGGTGTAAGGACGCCGGCCAATGCATACCATCAGAACATCACAATCCAGCTAAAAATTCGGTAGCATCAAAATGATAGCAAACGATTAATCTTCGTACAATCGGTGCTACTTACCGTTTGCTTCTTGCCATCTTTTGCACCTTCTATTTCAACTTTGATTACTTCTCCATTCTTCTGTGCGGCCATCACCTGAACTATGACTGCTAAGACAGATCATATTGTCACACATGAGTCACCAAAAACGAGTGAGTTTCCTAGCAGAGCAGCTTCTTGGATTCCACGGAAAACGGATTTTCGATGGAACTTGGTGTACCGGTGAAATGACGACAATGCAAGAAACAATGCAAAATTACGGAATGAAGGCATACTCAAGTCCTTGTGCGACCACCACTCCATGTTGATGACATTACTGAATCACCATTTGTTTAAATGCAATGTAAGAACCTTTGTACTGAGAAGGAACTTCATTCCTTGCTTTGCTAGTATACGTTGGAAGTTTTTCGCAATCTCCATGTCAATGCCAAATCCACCAATGTGCTCGAGAAACTCAACGGCAGTTACTTGGGCACCAAGTCGTTGCCATACAGAGCCCTGCAATTACACGAAATATCACGATCGGAAGGAATGAGGACTTCCTACCAAATTATGGATCAAACGCCAACAAATCTTTCACAAAATATGTTGAAAAGAGGCTAACCAGCTCGAGTCCAATAACTCCTGCTCCAATAATTACCATCTTCTTGGGCACAGCTTTCAGGGAAAGTGCTCCGGTCGAAGAAATGATCTGAAGAATTATATGGAAATAGAGTAGTTGTTTGAGTAGCCCTCACGACTACGACGTACTATCTCGGTTGCAAAACACTCCCCCAAAAATGCTATGATACGGAGTTTCCCTTCTTTTAGGGAAAGTCAAGCGAATGTGAGAAATCCTTCGCGGGGGGACTACCATCAAGACATGGGCATAGATATACAGATAACGTTCAAGTTGGTAGGCGAGCGTGAGAATCATGGAGTATTTTGTAGCGATGCCACCATAAATTCTCAAGAGTCCGCCTCTCCCTCTCTTCGTCTTTAGATTCAGAATAACTAAATATCGAGGTGGGGAAGGGAATAATGAGAAAATACCATAATATGTCGGTAAATGCCATAAAAACCATCTTTGCAGTTCTACATCTGATAAACGCATTTACTTTCTTACGAACACCTTCCTACAACATCTTCTCCTTCTCATGTACCTAAAAGTCACTTCTCCAAACGTCTTTGGCTCTGACCATAATTTGCTAGTCAATCCAGAAAATAAAGTCGTTGTTCGAGTACCTAGCACTGTCGAGCAAAAAGCTTATCTCTTATGATTGGGTATCCTGGGAAAGAGGAGTTAACTTCCGATCCGGTCGCATAAATTGACCTTTCACAGTCTAACGGAGCCATTTCTTCTTTTTCACATTGAACTTAATAAAATGTAGGTAAATTTGCGAACTTTTAGAAAACAATAATTTTTGAATAATGAATGTTGGATGTTGGTGTATCCTCATTGATTGCCTTTACTTTCGTTTGGATAGGACTCATCAAGTAAACACTAAACAGAAGCATGCGCAGTGCAAAAAAAACCTTACCATTGGACAATAAGCTATTCGTTTTGAGATCGATTGGAACCCTCACTCACGAATCTTTTGAATTCCGTAGCAGAAACGCAAGTAACTATTAAGAATATGCAAGACAGTTTGCCTTTACCGAATAATGAGAACTCTTTATGGGAAGCTCCACTTTTTTTACTGATTTGGAATGCACGACATTCTTGAGATTAGTTTGTGACTCCATATGAGTTATCAATTTAAGCGTCTTACGATGTATTATTCGTGGTGCAGGCTAAGAATGGAAACAAATGGAAGCAATGCAGACACCCGATACCCGTTGTGAGTCGAACCGTGCCACAAGGAGGAGGACCATCCTGCTCGATTCATTTTAAGTTTTTTCCCAAACTTCCACAGACGTGGTTTCTCTTTCAGACCCGAACACAGCATGTATACTGACCCATATGACTGCAAATTAACCTAAGCCTGATCGTTTGAGGTTGAGTGGAAATATAATTATGTTAATCAGTATATTTGCATGGTAATTTGGTAATTTTGGAACTAGTTTCAACACCGTGACTTCATCGATACTCACAAGGCCGCGAGCTGCAAGCTACCCCTTTTTTCGTGGCCAAATTACAATAAATAAGTTTCAGTGATACACCAAACTGGAATTCTGCACAAATTAGTGTAAAAAGGGACAGTTCGTTTTGCCTTGAAATTTTATTTTCAAGTCCACTGCAAAAACTATGTCAAGTCCTAAGGATAAAATAATGATAGAAGGAAATAAAAATTTGAATTGAAAAAAACCTAAGTAGCAGAAAAGTGCCAATCAATTGTCACCTGGTTCGGTCCAGTGATTGTTCCAACTCCTTGGATATGCCCAACTTTGTTAGCTTTGAAAAGGGCGACAATACCTGTTGATATAGAGCATTTAATAAAAAAGATCACGACAATCAAAAAAAAAACTGAATTGTTTTAGTAATAAGTTGTCAGCTCCGCCACGATTGACTACCACTATTAGAACCCTGATCTTTCAGAATTCTAAGATCCACGTTGTATCAATAATCACAAGGTAGACAAGCCATTACTTGCTTGTGGAAAATTTGCTGCTTTTAAAACCGACATATCTCATGTACCATTCCTCTGCCTTACAATTTTTCATTCACTTTTTCAAGTTATATTTGAGCCATAGGCCTGCATGTCTGGTTGTACTCTTCGTTTAACATCACCTCTTTCCTGCTTACTTTAGCCCTCCTTTCCTGCACTTCATGTGACACATAAACTACTTACCCCCAGTGAGAGCTTTGACGCTGCTTGATTTAGCTTCCATCATTTTAGTGAGATCCAATGAAGGAGATACCTTTATTCCTAAACAGGTTCCTTTTGAAATTAAAAAAAAGCGGCACAAGGAAGGCTCTCATGGTTTTTTCAAAAAAAAATGCAGTAACCTCGATTAGCAAAGTCGTGTTGAGCCATGTGATAGTAATGAGAATTGTTAAGTAGTGACTTTGATGGGATACATCCAACGTTGAGACATGTTCCGCCAAGGGTGGGATCTTTCTCCACACAAATTGTCTGAAGAAGCATGGAGTAACTAATTAAAAAATAAATTGAAAGCTTAAAATGAAGGGAGACATAATGAAAAACGACTAATTACCTTCATCCCGAGCTGCGCAGCCTTAATTGCAGCAACATAGCCACCAGGACCTGCGCCGATGACGACTATATCGGCTTCTGAAAGGCTAACCTAGGTTTCAGAGATGAGAATAAATTTATGGTGCCATAGGAACCAAGAGAAATGACATGCCTTGTGTCGACCCGAAAGACCGACTCAAAATTGAGAAGATGGCTCGTTTCGTCAACGGCGACAAAGTGGTCCTAGCTAATGACATTTTTACCTGAAACTTCTCAGAACCATTGAACACGAAGACAAAAAACGTAATCACGAAATTGCTAACTCAGAATAATTGAGTCGATACGATCAAAACAATAGTTACCAGACTATCAGAATATCAATAAAAGGAAGAATATCTGCTCCGCATGCCTACAAAGTCAGCATCAAAAAGAGGTGTTATCGAGTGCCGCCGACGACGCCCATCTCGCCAATGACATAGACCCACATACTCACGTAGCTCACTAATTGATAGTACAATAATGTTATGTGAAGTGGCATCAGTGAACTGCAACAAACGTGTCTTTCTAATCTCTACTGATCGATTAGCACAGAACACCGGCTACACGCACGCCTTGCGTCCTAGCTTTCCTCAAAATTTATCAGTAGCAACTCCCTACAATGGCCTTTTCACCTACTCCTTCCCCCTTTGGCTCTGTTTCCAATCCCGCTCCCCTGTCTCTAAGTGCTGGTGGTTGCAATCGTCGCGAGCTCGATATAGGGCACCATTGGGGCCACAAAGTTACTGATTTCAAAGGATCTGATTCTTTAGAGCCCCCAAATCGACCGGATTTTTATAGTCTAGATCTCCATAGTACTATGGATATTAAACACCAGAAAACCTTCCAAGAGCGTGGCTCTACAATGCTGATGTTGAACAGGAAAACGAAATGATCGGTTGCCTACCTTTTTTAGCCCCTACGCACAGAACGTTTCGTTACTTGATCGTAACCCTCGCCGGCCCTGCCCGCTACTTTAGATTTTCCTTCTTTCTCCATTGTATTCCCGAATCGTCCATGGGGATGCAACGTTTCATACAAATCAAACGAATCAACATAAAAAACAGAAGGAAGGTACCTCATTAGTTTTGCTGCGAAGTAAGACCAGTAAGGTCTTGCAAATGAGGAAACCGGTGTGCTAGGGTAAGGAACTATGCATTGTACTGAACAGGGTCACCCATGTTCAACAAGACTGCGTGGTTCCAATATTTTCTTGTAACATGCTCCCTCTCGGCGGCATGAGCGGCCATCCTCCGCTGTAAGTCAATAAAATCTTGTACACATACGAACGAAGCGACGATTGAGCCGGTTATGTTCTCAATATACCTTCTCCTTCATATTAATTGCAAAATTATGCAACTGAGCCCATGCTCGTCTGCGCATTTTTGCTTCCTACTAGAGGCGAAACGTTTTTAAAAATGTTCTTTAGTGTTAGTCAAAGCGAAACCGGTCTTGGGTGTGAAAGCTCGAATTTGGCCAACTGATAACAACGAACTGGAAAAAAAAATTAAGGACAGCTGATAATAAAATAAAATGAAAAACGCCTCTCTTACTTGAAATGAGGTCCTGCTTCAAAGAAAACCTTCACTGAAGGGTCCACGTAGCTGTATCAATCATTAAGCTACTCTCAACAAAAAGTAGACCATCGAAGTATACTGCAAAGCCTTCGGAAAATCGGAAACCAAGTCTGCTGCACGTCCGCCAGTCGATAACGAAAGGAAGAAGCTTGAAAAACCTAAGCTTGTAAAGAATCAAGTACTTGCGACTCAGCCAAGATGTTCAGGATCATCGCTATGGGACCCGACGAGCAAAAAAGACGTGTGCTGGCTGGCAACAGGGAAACGGCGCACATCGCCCAGTGCTGAGATATCGTTTGGGAACTGGTTCAGAACTTTGATAGCTAGTTGTGTGACAGACGTTCCCATTAGAACAGCTACACAGATTACTTGCTAGGCACAGCGCATAAACACCGATGTCCGCGCCGCGCATGTTTTTTGCGCGTCGCGCTCGCCGCATGCGGCAACCAGAAAGGAGACCATTACAGTAGACATAAGGCAGGGCAAACCCATGTAAGTACGGATAACATTGCCCACCTGATGGTGAGTTTGTTGTCGTCTGAAATTGACACAGGAGTGTTTACAAAGTGTTGTGTAGTACCGTACACATTTTAGAAAAGTTTTTGTGTATGCTGCACGAAGTTTTCGATAAGAAATGGTGCTAACTTAGTTGGGGGGGGGCACGCGGCGGCGCGGCAGTCTGCTCACCTGGGCTCTCTCGAGCGAGACAGTGTAAACTCGAACATTCCAGCTTTTCACGCATGTCAAGTGACTGCCCCCACCCCCCAACCCCCTAGGCTGGCTACACTCCCCCTGGCCCACGGATTTCCGAACATGCCAGGCGAGCAGACTGCCGCGCCGCCGCGTGCCCCCCCCCCCAACTAAGTTAGCACCCGGCAAGACCTCAGCCTATTAGTCCAATAGAAAAGGGCGCAACTGTGGTTGTGGGGGGGGAGGGAAGTGGTCGCCGTAGTTTTCGCTCCCTTTCTCTTCTCAACCCCTTCTCCCATCCCCTGAACGGGACCTATTCAGTTCTCCTCCTGAGGTTAGGTCGCAAGAGCTGCGCAATCACTTTTGGATTTAGACTCAGGTTTAGGCTTATGCTTGCACATTGCTATGCTTTAAGCTTATTACTGAGCCTAGGCTTAGTCATAAGCCTGCTTCGAGCAAATGATCGGTGTCCTCAGTTTTAAGTTGACCCTGACGATGAGAGAAACTGCAACTTCACACCCGCAGTGCCGACGTGTCCACAACTTACATAAAAAGTCGTACTACACACTGGATCTGGGTGTTCCATCAAAGGATCAAGCACTGCGTCCACCGGTCCATCATAGTCTGACACCTGGCTGAACTACGGTCGATTACTTCTCGACAAAAATGCGTATTTGCTTCAGAGGGAGGGAGGGATTTCGTAGGGGGCAAACAGAAGGGGAGAAAGATGATGAAAAAATGAAATAACGGAGGTAAACGTAGAACCGCTCGACAGTAAAGCCAATACAGTGGCGCTCAAAAGTCTTCGGTGGAATGCTCTTTCAAGCGTAACTTTTTTCCTACTGCATGAAATCCACCGAAACTGCAGTATGTTGATCAATGACATATTGTGAATAATTGCGGCTATTTGGCCGCAATGCGCTTTAGTTCACGGTACATTAGTGAGATCAAACTCAAGATCAGTGCGGAACACGGATAGCATAGGCTTAGGAAAAACCATTTTATTCGAGATAACAAAATGCAATATACTACAAGCATCAATATTTTGTAGGAAAACCTCGACTACTGATGACAGCGGCGCAGCGCGAAGGCATCGAACCGATAATTTTTTGGATGGTAGACATTGGCATGGCGTACCACTCTTTCACTAGTTCAGCGAACTTTTCTTCTTTTTTTTTCACGAAGTCTGACTTGCTGCTCACAGTTCCACCGAAGACTTTTGAGCGCCACTGTATGTCGGTACCCACACAGCGTTTTCACAATTTCCAAAAAATCTTCGGATCGAACTATAGAACTTGAGTCATACTGCCGCGAACTCCTTGCGCATTCCGCAAAAGCGTGTAACCTCCCCTTCAAAAAGCGAGAAAGTGTCGGGTGCAGACCAAACACCACAACTGACGACGGCCTCCAAGTAAATCTGGTTAGAAGTTGTTCATAGTGATAGCTGATTTCTGGTAAATGATAGTTGTAATTAGTGACAATCGATAGAATACAACTGCAACAGGCTAATCATTTCATTGGCAGAAAACATTAACATTTTGTGAAGGCCGTCGTCACTTGTGGTGCATGGTCTGCACCCGACACTTTCTCGCTTTTTGAAGGGGAGGGTAGGTAATAAGCTGTAATAAGTGCGCGGGAGTAGTTTAGGAGAGGTGGATCAAAAAATTGAAAATTTCGGTTTTCTGATGCAAATTCGGATAACCACACCAGAGAAAAAAGATTTGTTGGTGTATCCAATCCTGAAATACATACACAGTAGACTTCACAGCTAATTCCTATCCGTTTTCGAGAAGACCTTTCGGGAGACAAGCAGGTTTAAAGACTCCTCTTTCGCGAAAAGCAAGATATAGTTCATCGCCACAAATCACTGGCTCGAGTCTCATCGTCCACGATAAGAACCAAAAAATAAAGAAAATTGCATTTGATCTGGAGAATAATTCGAAAAATTGGAAGGGAATGTTATGCGTTTAAAATTCCCGCCGGGCATCTGTCACAAACGCGCACGGTAGAAACGATTCCATTTAGTTTTTGAGTGCCTTCGCTAGAAACACTTTTTGACTTTTTCAATTATTGAACTATCATCTAACCCTTCTAAATACAACATCTTGTTCTATCGATCGATCGGTCCCTCCGGATACGAAGCTTCAACCGGGTTTTTTTCATTGCCCCAAGGCGCTCTTCTTTCTAAGCCACGCCTTTGGCGCCGCGCGACCTACCATTGGCCGTCCATAGAGGGTGTTTTCGTAAGTTCCTTTCTCTTTAGAAACTCATTTTGCGTGAAACTTTCACTCTGTGTCTAATGATGACACATGACACAATGATGGTGGACCGCAGATTTGCTGTTGCACCGCCTTTGAAATAAACTATAGCTGACTTGTCCAGATTCTGTCTGAACCCTCATTAATATTGTTTCACATGTTTCACACGCCATCAGAAAAATCAGAGCTGCTACGTTTGAAATTAGTGCGTATTACAACCGAGGAGGGAAATTTCTGAGGAAAATTTTCCTTCGCAACGTACCAGGGCAACTCCTGGGCAGGTAAGAGGGGTGAAGCGAATAGGAACGGGATCAAGAGTCATTGGTATCACAAAGTTTATAAAGTATCCTTTAGGCCGATGTCATAGTTTGCGAATCGAGCGATTCGCTAGCGAATCGCTGGATCCGAGCGTTGCGCCAGCGAATCGAACGTTGCACCAGCGAATCGAACTTTGCGCCAGCGAGTCGAACGATGTACCAGCGACTCAATAGTGGCGGGACCCAACGTTTCAAAGGAAGCCCGCCACTTTCAAACAGTGTCCACGGCAAAGTCCCGCCACTTTCAAACAGCGTCCACTGTCACATGACACTGCTTGAAAGTTGGCGGGCTTCCTTTAAACGTTGGGTCCCGCCACTATTGAGTCGCTGGTACATAGTTCGACTCGCTGGCGCAAAGTTCGATTCGCTGGTGCAACGT